GTGGAGGGCGGTTTCGGCCCCGACGGGCTGGGAGCCGGGACGCCCGCCGGCATGGACTCCGCGGGCGTCGTGTGCTCCGGCCGGTGCGCCCGGGCCGCCCCCTAGTTTGTCCCCGGCCCTAAGCGGGTTTGGGCCTCTGACGGGTGGTCGCTGAGGCGCCGGGAGAGTGGACGATGCCTCCTGCGGGGATCCGGCCCCCCGCCCCCTGCAGCCGGCGACCTTGTGCCTCGGGGCCAGAGAGAAGCGGGCGTTTCCAGGCAGCAGCGCACAGACGGGGGGGAGGCTGGGTGGTTCATGGGGTTACCTGTTCCCGCAGCGGCTGGGACGCGGGGAGGTGGCGGTGGGTGGTCTCCGGCAGGGGTCGCCCGTCCTCATCCGCGGCAGCCCCGGGTCGGACCAGCTTGTGCTTCGCCCGTTGCGGTCCTTGGTCCTGAAATACCCTGCCTCCGGGATAAGGGCTGTCGGGATTCGCGACGGAAAGGAGGCTAACGACTCGCTGTGGAGTCAGGAGACCCAGGGGTGTGGGGCGCTGGTCGGGGCCTGGACGTTACCCAGGCAGGTGCCGCCTTTTCGGGTGATTGTCCTGTGAAGTCTGCGGGGAGGCGCTGCTCCGCTGTCCATGCCCACGGCGCAGTTTTAGGGGAGACAGAAACGGGTTTCATAGCAAAAAGGGGTGCAGCCCTGGCCGGTGTGGCGCGGTGGTTAGCGCACTGAAGGGTCTTGGGCTCGATGCCGGGTCGGGGGCACCTGCCTGGGTTGCAGGTTCCATCCGGGGCGCGTTCGGGAGGCAGCTCGTCGGTGTGTCCCTCTCACATCCGTGATTCTCTCGCTCTCTACCCCCCCTTCCTCCGTCCCTTCCACTTTCTCTGAAAATAATGGAAAAAATATCCTCAGGTGAGGATTTAAAAAATAAAAAGGTTGTAAATACTTCACAGGCTCCTTACTGTGTTTTCACTTGGATAATGGAGGAGTGTCAAGTAACCTGTGTTGAAGTCTTACCTCTGGCTTGTAGGGTGTGAGACTCTGGGTGACCTGGTGGGACTCCCTCAGCCCTGGGGCACTGAGATGTTTGCCACGGTCTCTGGGAGGATTAGTAAAAATCCTGAAGCACACCGACCATTGAATCGCTTCTGTCGCAAATGTTACTAGGGAAGTGGGAGCTGTTACTGATAGGGACACAGAGGCTCAGAAATGAAGTGACGTCCCCACGGTAACTCGGCTGGCAAGGGTAGGGTTTCTAGAGTTTGGGTGCAAACCACAGGAGACAGAGCTGGGGACTTTTAGTCCCTTTAACCAGGAAGTGGAGCCCTCAGCTTGGGGCAGGCAGTTGCAGGATCACTGAGGTTCGGGTATATTGGTACCATTACCACATTTCCTCAGCCCTCTGATGTCCTGTAGTCTTTACTGTCTGCATCTCACAATCGACATGTCATTTCTATTGTCTTATATCAATTTACAGTGGCTCCTGATAGGAGGCTTCTCTCCTACACTGTTGTAGTATGTCCACAGCATTGCATAGAGCTGGGCCCTCAGGAGATGCTTGGTGCTTTGGGCCATGATGTCTGCAGCTTGACCGTGATGCAGAGACAATCACCAATCCCATCCCCAACAGCTCCAAGGCCAACTCTGCTATGTCTGTTTGACTTTCCAGGTGCCTGTGACCTTCGAGGATGTGGCCGTGACTTTCACCCAGGAGGAGTGGGGGCAACTGGACCCAACCCAGAGGACCCTGTACCAGGAGGTGATGCTGGAAAACTGCAGGCTCCTGGTGTCTCTGGGTAAGCCCTCCCCCTGCCGTGGGGGACCTGCTACTTGCTAATTCCACCCTCTGGCTCCAGACCTGGCTGGTCAAGAAGGTCTCAGGGGCTGCCTTCCCTCCTCCCCACAGCCTCTGTCATTTTATAGACTCACGTCTTCTGGCCTAGTCTCCATGTGGTTCTTGGGCAAGAAACAGTTTTCTTATGGCTTCTGGAAAGTGGCGGAAGGAAATGGGGGTGTTGTGCAGAACCCAAAGGCAGGACATCCAGTGGGGCCTTTGAGGGACTGATATAGGATCTGGGAACCACAAGGATTATTCCCCGGCTCCTGGGTCTCTCTTCCTGGCTTCTCTCTCTGGGTCTTCTCATGTCACTCTATTCTGTATGGCTTCTTGTTCTCAACGAGTTTGTGACAGGTGTGGCCACCTCAGTCCCTGCTCTCTGTGGCCCCCCCGATTCCTCATCTGTACTTTTTTGCATACTTTTTTCACCTTTTGCCCCAAACCCTTGCTACTTTTGCCTTTTCAGCAGATGGGAGTACTCAGGCTTGCAGCCTCTGCAGGCCGCATGAGCTCACTGGGACTTAATAACATTGTTTTGATTTCATTGCTGAATTTTCACAGTGACCCTCCATCAAGGGAAGTGACTCTGGGTTTCCTAGAGCCATGCAAGGTCTTTTTTTTTCTTTTTCTTTAAATATGTCTTTATTGATTTCAGAGAGAGGAAGGGAAAGAGAGAGATAGAAACATCAATGATGAGAGAGTCATTGATCGGCTACCTCCTGCATGCTCCCTACTGGGGATTGAGCCCGCAACCCGGGCATGTGCCTTGACCCGGAATTGAACCATGATCGCCTGGATCATAGATTGATGCTCAACTGCTGAGCAGTGCTGGCTGGGCCCTGTGTTTGTTTTTGTAATATAAAGTTCATTAGCATATAAAATTTTTGTATTTATATTATACATAATTATTATGTATAATTTACTACATAAGTTATATAATTTCTTATAATTTATTGATTTTAGAGAGAGGGACAGGGGAGAGAGAAAGAAATGAAGAAAGAAAGATTGATCTGTTGTTTCACGTAGTAATACATCATTGGTTGATTCTCGTATGTGCCCTGACCAGAGACTGAACCCTCAACCTTGATGTATTGTGAGGTTGCTCTAACCAGCTGAGTTACCTAGCCAGGGCGTATAAATTTTTAATATATAAATTTTGGGTCTCCAGTTGGGTCAGGTTATAGACAACGTTAATTTAGTTACATACTGTGTTTTATTTACTTTTTATGTTTTCCCTTCTGTCTCCAGGGGTTTGTTTCTTGTTACTGTTTTTAAATCAATGAATAGTCTAGAACTGGTTTTATGTTTGGTGGACCTGATTTTAGTGTGCCACCTGATTTTAAAGAAAGGATGGGAAGGGGAAAGGTCTGGAGCCTCGAGGCAGTAGCATCTTCCTGGGATGACCCTAGTCTGCAGTATAAATAGTCCCTTCATCTCTCTTCCCTCTTTTTTCTTTTTTTCTCCTCCAAACAAAATCTTTTTGAGGGCTGGGCAGGGGTAGGGGTGTTACATCTCTTTCCCTGACCATTTCTCTTTTTTCCCCCCCCTTAATCCTCACTTGAGGATTTTTTTAAAATTCATTTTAGAGAGAGGAATGAAAAGAGAGCAAATGAGGAGGGGAGAGAGAGAAACATCAATGTGAGAAACATTGATTGGTTGCCTCCCATAGTCACCCCAACCGGGATGGAACCCACCACCTTTCGTCCATGGGATGACGCTCCAACAAACTGAACCGCTCTGGCCAGGGCTGGGGAGGTTTTTAAATCTCCCTAGATCCAGGCCTCACCTGCAGAGACTTGGTTTCAGTTGCATGTGAACAGACAACCCAGAGGTAGTGATGCACAGGCTATTGAGACCCACTTACTGGGATTAATTAGAAAATACCTTCTGGAGAGAGGGGATAGTTTCCTTTGGGTCTCATGGCGACAACTGAACAGACTTGGGATGGAATCTAGGGGAACAGTGCTATCTACACAGCCAGCGTTACTGCCTGCAGTCTTTAGATCCCAGCGGTGGTGTTTGTGAGCTGGTTTTCAGGTTACATGTCATTTTTTGTTTGTGTGGATGGGAGGAGCTTCCTTCTAAATCTTGTCCACATCCTGAATTTGCAGACTAGGTGGGGAGGTTTTAATTCCTTTCACAAAAATCCTTGTGTCCTCTTTCGTTCTCTGTGAACAGGGTGTCCTGTTCCCAGACCTGAGCTGATCTGCCAGCTGGAGCACAGGCAGGAGCTATGGACGGTGAAGGAAAACCTCTCCCACAGCACCTGTACAGGTAGGAGCCAAGCTGTGGGCAAATGGAAGACCCTGCAGCCTTGAGACCTTCAAGAGACCACTGGCCATGGATCCATAGGGAAGGCTCTTGTTGTGGCCTGTCTGGTGGTTTGGAAGCCATGGAGCCCTATGACTTGTGGGCCCTCTGTCCTCATGGAGGACAGAGCTGTATGAGCTAAGATCTGTCTGGGCCTCAGAGCCCGACTTGCGGATTACCAGCGCTGTGGCGGTAGTGAAACAGGCTGGTGCTCTAACCACTGGGCAATACAGGCCAGGGCAACATGCCACCAATTTTTTCCGCTCTGTTTACTATGTATTCTCTGCTTTACCACCAAGCTGCTCTGTCTCCTGTGTCTGCCAAAGCTTCATGTAGTGTGAGTTCTTTATTTTCCCAAGACCTGTTTGTCTTCTCTATGTGTAGGTACTATCAGGTCTTAACATCTATAATCTACTAATAGTATTACCTGATCAGGGAAGTGTCCTCCTTATGCTCCTGTTCTCACTTTGGTCTTTCATGCAGATCCACAGTCAGATTTTCGGGTTCTATGGTAACCTGGTTGGCACTTTACAGGGAATTATGTTGAATTTATATATTCACTTGGGTAGAATTGTTGGTTTTATATCATCAGATCCTTCACTGATAAACCTGAGCTTTAACATCATTTTCTCCGTATAGATCATGTGTATTTTGCCTTCTTCACCAAACCGTTCCTCAGGCATACCAGACTCAGTATGTCCTGGGAGTCCTCACTGTCCCCTGAGTCTGTCCCCACCTGTCTGTCCCTGGCTTCTGAGCACCATCTCCTCACACTGTAGTGCCCTTCCTGTTATGGTGCCAGTAGGAATCACATTGTAGCACCTCCCATTGAAAAACTCTGATTTTTCTTTCATAGCATTAGCCTAACCAAGGGTGAAGGGCACAGAACTCAAGACTCTCATGTCTGCCCAGGTCTTCTGACACTAGCTACAAGTTCAGGAATTTCCCCAAACCACCCTCAAGTTCGATGATTTGCTAGACTCAGAAAAACTCCCTAAAACCCTCTATACTCACTATCATATTTAAAAGGATACAAATTAGAAGAGACGAGGAATATGGGACTGGAAGTGTTCCAAACACGAAGATCCCACATCCTCAGCAACTCCTTACCTCCTGGCCTTGATTTATAGCAGTGTGTAGCCCACCCAGGAAACTCAGATCCTTAGTGTCCAGATTTTCATTGAGATGTCACTGAGCCTTTGCTAGTGGGACTCAGTCTCCAGTTCTCCTTTTCCTTCCAGTGGCCCAGCTAATACCTTGTGGCTCAAAGCCCAAACTTTCTAATTACATGGTTGGTCTTTCTGGTATGGCCAGACCTTACTGTGAGTCATCTCCTTACTGTAAACTATCTAGTGGCCCATAGTGAGTTATGTGTTGTCATACACTGTCAGGTATGTTTCCAGGGGCCCTACATGAATAACTGAGACACTCCTGTCATTCTGGAAATACCGAGAATTCAGAGGTTACTTCTTTGGAGTTGGGACAAAGATCATACTTCTCTTTGGGGGGAGTTAATTTTGTGTTACACATTTCTTGTCTTCCATCGGGGCTGCATTAGATATCCTTACAAGTGTTTGCGTAGCAACGTGGCCTGTGCTTGCTCAGAGGAAACTCAGAACACGTAGTGTCATTATTTTGTACAGTCATGTTTGTCCTCTCATCCAGCCAGGTCACTGGGTGTCAACAGTCCAGGGACCAGGACAGAAAGATTGCAGTCCTGGGATTCAGAGGTAGCAAAACATAGCAAACACAGAGGCACTATTTTCACCTTCATGTTGTTCACTGAAATGCAGATTTTGTTCCTTCTGTGTTGACATTACTAACAGGCCTTTTGTGTGTTGGGTTTCTTCAGGTGACAGAGAAAAACTCAAAACCACAGAACTTACCACTTCCGAGCCAGCCCTGTCTGAGAGATTCTCACTCCAGGGACAACTAACACAAAAAGTTCCAGTGGTCTCCCAAGTGGACCAAACCAAGGATTGGAATGGCCCATCGGAAGTGTCCCGGCAGGAAGGACACTTGAAACCAGGGATAGACCTCCTAAGGGAGAAGTTCCCTGCGCACCCAGAACATGGTGGCTTAGGGGCAGTTGATGGGGTGTGTTCAAGGACTGTGCAGGAGCCAGTCCCTCCAGGAGGTGCTGTCCTTGACTCACGTGAATTGGGTAAAGATTCCACGATTCAGGAAGAGGAAAATACCTTTAAATGCAATGAATGTGGGAAAGTGTTTAACAAGAAACACCTTCTTGCAGGACATGAAAAGATTCACTCTGGTGTGAAGCCATATGAATGTACAGAGTGTGGGAAAACGTTTATTAAGAGCACACACCTCCTTCAACACCACATGATCCACACAGGGGAGAGGCCCTATGAGTGCATGGAGTGTGGGAAGGCCTTCAACCGCAAGTCATACCTTACACAACACCAGCGGATTCACAGTGGAGAGAAACCCTATAAGTGCAATGAATGTGGAAAGGCCTTCACTCATCGCTCCAATTTTGTCTTGCATAAGAGGAGACACACTGGAGAAAAATCCTTTGTCTGCAAAGAATGTGGGCAAGTTTTTCGACATAGGCCAGGATTTCTTCGACATCACATCATCCACAGTGGTGAGAATCCCTATGAGTGCTTTGAGTGCGGCAAGGTCTTCAAACACAAGTCATACCTCATGTGGCACCAGCAGACGCACACTGGGGAGAAGCCCTATGAGTGCAGTGAGTGTGGGAAAGCCTTCTGTGAGAGTGCCGCCCTCATTCACCACTATGTCATCCACACTGGGGAGAAGCCCTTTGAGTGCCTCGAGTGCGGGAAGGCCTTCAACCACAGGTCGTACCTCAAGAGGCACCAGCGGATCCACACTGGGGAGAAGCCTTTTGTGTGCACTGAATGTGGTAGGGCCTTCACCCACTGCTCCACTTTTATCTTGCATAAGAGAGCCCACACTGGAGAAAAACCTTTTGAGTGTAAAGAATGTGGGAAAGCCTTTAGCACTAGGAAAGACCTTATTCGGCACTTCAGCATCCACACTGGAGAGAAGCCCTATGAGTGCAGTGAGTGTGGGAAGGCCTTCAACCGCAGGTCAGGCCTCACGAGGCACCAGCGAATTCATAGTGGAGAGAAGCCCTATGAGTGCATGGAGTGTGGCAAATCCTTTTGCTGGAGCACTAACCTCATCCGACACGCCATCATCCACACTGGAGAGAAGCCCTATAAGTGCAGTGAGTGTGGAAAGGCCTTCAGTCGCAGCTCATCGCTCACTCAGCATCAAAGGATGCATTCTGGGAGAAACCCTGTCAGTGTAACCCAAGTGGAAAGACCCTTCCCAGGTGGGCAGACTGCACTTACTCTCCGAGAACTCCTGTTGGGGAAAGACTTTTTGAATGTAAACACTGAGGAAAATCTTTTGCCAGAGAAAACATCTAACACAGCATCCAGTTGTACATACCAAAGAGAAACCCCGCAAGAATCTTTGCCATGAGGAGACCTTGTGTTGCAGATCATCACTTGTCACGGGAAGACACTTTTTAGAAATTCACCCAGCCTGGAGCCTTACTCTGCACCTGAGAATTTAACTGTGAGGGCGTGCACCAAGGAAAACCTTCACCTCCATCTTTGTACTTAGTTTACATTGCAGTGTATCTCAGGAATTTTTTTTTTTAAAGGAGAAAGAAGAGAAAATGCAATGAGACTTCTGTTAAGCCTACAGCACTTTGTCATGGATTACCTAGTTTACTTGGGGCAAGGGGGTTGTTTCAGGGGCATGGGCCTTGATCCTTATGTGTTTTGTATACATTCATTGCTGTCCAATGTCAGGAGTTAGACATTGGAGGGCGAGTATTTGAGAAGATAAGGAAACCCATATGAATGGGCATATTTTATTGTACCAGTTAAAACTTAAGGATTTGACTTTTTAGAAACAAACCATTCTTTATTTGGTTTTAAAACATAAAACTTTTTCTTAATCCCAATTTATTGTTTTATTTCTGTACCTAGATTGTAAATCTTAAAAATTGAGTAAAGTGATTCCTCTCTATATTATTTAAAACTGACTTAGCTTTTCTAGTTCCTTGAACTTTGCATATATATCTTAAAGATAAGCTTGCCTATTCTTACAAAAATGTCTTACTCTCATTTTGATAGAAATTGATTTATGCTGTAGGTCAGTTTGAAAGTCGGCATCATGAACAAGTACATGATGTGACTACATTTATTTAATCCTTGATTTATAGCAGTTTATAATTTTCAACATACAGGTTCTGAAAATTTTTGTTAGGATTTGTATCTACGTTTTTGAATGATAGTGAGTGGCATTGATTTTTAAATTTAAATTTTCCACACAATCTTTGGTAGTGCACAGAAATGTAATTGTGTTTTGGGGTGTTGTTTTGGTATCCTGCAGTCTTGCTGAATTCACTTATTTTTTGCCATTTCTTTGGATAGAATCCTTGGGGTCTTCAGCTGCAAGTAGTTTTATTTCTTCCTTCCCTGTTTGTATGCCTGTTATTTCCTCTTCTTATTGCACTAGCTAGGACTTCCAGTATGATACTGAATTGGGGTAGTGTAGTAAGAAAGAACATTCTTGACTGGTTTGTGATACTTTCAGGAGAACGTTCAGTTTTTCATCATTAAGTATGATAATAACTAAGTTGTTTTCATAGTTTTCTCATTAAATTTAGAAAGTTTCCCTCTATTAATTTGCTGAGATCTTTTATTATGAATAAGTATTGGATTTTGTCAAATGCTTTATCTTCAGTTGATATAATCATCTGATTTTTCATCTATAGCCTGTTGGTACTAGGGTTTTTATATTCCATATTAAAGCATTCCGTTTGATTATATCTTGCTGAGGAAGTATCTTCCAATTTCTTGAGTGATAATGATGGGTAGTTCTCATTTTTATTTGTTTTTAAAACTGTCGTCTGTTTTTTGTGTGTGTGTTGTTTTTGTTACTCCTACCTGAGGACATTTTCTTCATTGATTTTTAGGGTGGGAGGGAGGGAGACAGAGAGAGAGGGGAAACATCAATGTGAGGGACACAGATTGGTTGCCTCCCGCACATTCCCCACCAGCCAGGGATCAACCCTGCAACCCAGGTACGTTCCGACTGAGAATTGAGTGAACCCCAACAATGTATCCTCTTGCCTCTCCAAAGGGAACTCGAATTCAAATGCTGAAACTGGGGGCGCCTCCACACGAGCACAGGATGTAGGGGACAGGCACAAACTTAAGGGAGCCCTCCCGTGTGCATGACAGGAGGGCCCTGGGGTGTGGCCCGAGCGGGAGGCGACCTTTAAGCAGGGGCCTGTTGGGCACGCACGAGGTTTTCGAGTTTTCCACCTTCACGAGGTACCCCAGCAGTTTCCTGGGGCGCCCTGTGTCCCCGCGAACGTGCGTCCTGTTAGCTCCGGAGTGTGTCCACTCGCGCCTTTCTGGCGTCCTTCAGCTCCAGTGTTTTAAGCTCAGTGGGTCCTGCCACAGCCCCACGTCCCGCCCCCTCCCTGTCTCCGCACCGCCCTCATTGGCCCAGCGCCCTCGGCCCCGCCCCCGGCGGGCGGAAGCTCCCGCTTCTGTCCCTCGTATTGGACACGCTGCCTAAGCCTCAGAAATTTCAACCATTGGGCGTCGGCCGGGTGCTCCCCGCGCAGCCAATGGGGCCGGGGCGCGAATTATAAAAGGCCTGGTGGGCGCCGCCCCGGGTCTCTGGAACCGCCGGGAGTCGTTGGCGGCCCCGCGGGTGGCGTCTCGAGGTCGCGGCGGGAGCAGCGGGGCCTGGAAGCGCCTCCGCCCGAGGGTCCCCTGCTCTGGCCGCTTCTCAGGGTCAGCCGGACCTGCACCCCGTCCGCGGGGCGCGAGGCGTCCTCTCGCCGCCACCGCGTCC